TTGCCTTTGTCCAATGTTGTTATTTTTATCCTGCACATATTCACAGCCTTCTTTAGCAATGAATAGTTTCTGCGCACGAGAGTCTCATCCCCTTAGCTACACAGAGTCTGCCCCACACAAATTACGAACACGTTTCATTTCCCCAACCAAAAACAGTAACCCAACTACCTGCCAAGATTTCTTCCTAGTTTCTACAAACTTGTAAAATTAACCCAATAACAACATTACTATTTGGCATGTATAGAACATAATTTTATTTCCGCACATAAAAATATGTGAAAATTATTTTTTTTTCTTCTTCTTTTCACATAATCCTATATGAGCCTCACATATTTTTATATGCATAATAAGGGTGTCAATTCGGATTAACACAATACAAATTTGATACGACATGAATACATTAATATAAACATGACCAGCAAATTATGCGGCTCGACACGACACAAATAACAACACACAAATTGAAATATATGAGTTCTTGACATCAAATCACTTTTTATATGAAGTGACATAACACGACACGACACAACATAAATTGATCAAAATAATAAATAGTTAAAAAAAGGGTCAAATGCGTATTTATATATTGACATGCGACACGACACTAATTTTCATGTGATATATTCTCACAATATAATGTGAATTTCAAAATGAGTCAACCTAAACATGAATTTTTATATCGTGTGAGTGCTTCGGGTCAAGAATTAATATCAATTTAAACACTAATCCAAAAATAACTAGTTAGAACCTACTGCCAGTGTATCAGTTACCACCAGTGAACCACTCTATGGGCCCAACCTTCCCCGCAAAACTAGTTCTTCAAAACCCCTTGGTAGTAGTGAATAGGTAAAAAAATCATCGTCTTTTAAGAAATTAAAGAGACATACAATCTCCTCATCCAAAGCACTATGAGAATGATAAATTTATTTAGAAGCTCAATAGGTCAAAAAGCTAATAATTTCAAATTGAGGATAACACAGGAGAATCACAAGTGCACCTTTATTCTCGTAACAAATTGAGGTTAAAGTCAAAGATATGATTCACATCTTTTCAAAAACAGTCTCCGACAATAGTTAAAAAATTTCAACAGCCCATATATATTTTTTTTTAGTACAACAAAAGGAAAAAAGCCCAAAGAAAAACTACAGGAAAGAGCAATCAACTTCCAAGATAGGACTCATCCCATCATGAGCTGAAGGAAGTAGCACAAAATTCTCTACGCTAGAGACTGCCCAATTAGCAAGGAGATCTGAACTAAAATTGCCATCCCTCTTCACATGAACAAACTTGACTTGCCATCTTCTGTTGCTCCAGTTCTTTATACTGCTAATAAGCTGATGATGGCAGCAACTTTCAATTTCATTGGTCAAGGCTTGGATAGCGTGTAGGCAACCACTCTCAATCAAGAGATGAGTGGCTTTACTCTCCCAAGCCACCTGAATTCCTTTGAGAATAGCCCATAGCTCTGCTGAAAGAGGGGAACATAAGCCAATCTTGTACATGAAACCGGTAATCCAACTACCTTGGTAGTTTCTTATAAGGCCCCCACACGCAGCTGTTGCCACATTAGCCTTAATAGCTGCATCCACATTTAATTTCCATCAGCCTTTAGGAGGAGCTTTCCATCTCACAATCTCATTGGCTATAGAAGAACTTTGCAGACGAGCCTGCGTTGAAAAGCTAACTCTGATGTCTCTAATATAAGCAGATATAACTTGGATAGGATCAGCAAGCCTGGAAAAGGAAGGGTCATGGATATCACAATTACGCCACCTCAATAGGAACCAGATTGTGGTCATAAAAATATCCTTCCAGGCTAGGAGTTGGTTGTTAGGCCAACCTTTTTGAATATTCCTCTGCATCCAGTTCCCAACAGATAGAGAGAAAAAGTCCTTACGGGTTTTTTCGTTGAACCAGTTAAGCCAAATAGGGGCAGCCTTGGAGCAGTCCCTTAGAACATGAATAATACTCTCCATCTGAGTAGCACAATTATGACAGTTAGAGCTTCCACCCCATTTAGCTGTCATATCCTTAGTGAGGATACGTCCATGGTACACTAACCAGACAAAAGAGCGAATTCTATGGGGGCCTCTCCAGTTCCAAACTGAGTTCCAAGTTAAGTCAGGAACAAGGGAATTAAAATCCATAAGATTATTGTATGCCAATCTGACAACATTTTTCTGCCCAAAAATGCTATCGCAAACCAGACCATATGTCCCACAATCCGGAGAAGGGGGAAGAATGGCCCTAACCGAGTTGACAGCCTCCAAAGGCAGAATAGTGGCTAGATTCTCCAAATACCAGTAACCAATGTTATGATCCACCATGTCAGCCACCCTGGTCTCAAAATCATTAACCATATGATTGGGAAAAATTAATTCACAAAGGGGCTTGTCTAGGTTAGTCCACTTATCCTGCCAGAAGTATATATCCTCCCATTTCCAACATCCCACTTCAAGTTATCTAAGAATCGATTCCAAATGCGGCCCAAACCTTTCCAGAGAGTAGAATCATAAGGCTGAACTTTGGCTTGTCTTCTTAAATCAAGATTCCTAGCATATTTCCCAGCGAGGACCTGACCTCATAACTCATCTTTGTTGCTAATCAATCTCCACACCAGTTTGTGAAGGAAAGCTTCATTGTGGACCTTAAGGTTGTGGATTCCTGGGCCTCCCACATTTTTGGACTTACACAAATTCTCCCAGGCTTTAAGATGCACTTTCCTGGCCTCATTTGTCTCCCACCATATTAAGATAAAGTGGATTGAATATTATAAAATTTTCTCAAATGTCCATTTCCATTTTCTAAATTATCATTTCAATCAAACTTTGATATAAAATTGTTTATCAATTACATTCAAACAATCTATTGTATATAATTTATAACAATTGTACTACTTATACTAGCACATATGCATTTAATTTTGGTTTTTCTCTTCTCATTCTTTTTTGCTCCTTTTGATCCAAAGATTTTTGATATATGCTAACTTTCTCCAAAACTCATCCATGTTAATGTTACTTTGATTTGCCATTAATATCCTTTCGTGGCTGTATCCTATATCTTCATTCTTCACACAAACATGATATTTTTTGCTTCTAATCAAAACTCTTATATTTTTGTTTTTCCCTCTTTGTTATCATCACATCATATCATCTATTAATAATTTTCAATTTAATATCAATTTATAATTTAATGCCAATTTGGTTAATTGATTCATTTTCTCTTACATTAACTCAAATAAATAGGATATTTATTGAATAAGTCGTTTACTCAAGTAAATATGGTGAGTGAATGTAATCGCACCACATGTAAAATTTAATTTGGGGCATAGTTGGTCAACTTTAATCAAATATGTATAAATTGATCTATAATTTGAAAAGTATAATAAATTAATAATTTTTTAAAAAAGAAGGATAATTTAATCAATCAACCAAAATTCACATGCTGATTTTTTAAAATATAAAAAAGCTAAAAAAATAATAATAATTTACAAAACTAAAATAATACACATTGAATAATTTAAAACAAGAGAGTTCTTTTATCTAAAAATACCTAAGTATTTCTCGTTACGATGAAGCTCGGCCACAGCCTAGAGTGTAAGATAGTGGAATTGTTGTGGTGGCAGCAAAGAAAATAATGAATGCCTGCATGATCTACATTTGTCAAATTCACTCGCCACGTTCTTGAATGTGCATTCAATCGAGAACCGCTTTTCTTCGGAAAAGTCACAACATCCATTATGAAATTCCGCTCCACCGAGCATTGGGCATTCAATTCAAGTATAATATGAAACCCGCTCTCTAGTTATTCACCAAACTTGATGAAAATGTTTTGGTAACACAATTCCTAAAGATTAATTTAGCAGTGTCATTAAAGATAAATTTAATAAAAATATGTGACATTAAAAATTAATTTAGTATTTTTTATTAATATTATGTATACTCATATCTGTTTTGAAATAAAAAATTTTTAAAGTAATTCTAAAAGGATAAAGAAAATTATCAAATACAATTTATAATTAAAAATTATATTTAAATAAATTAGTTTCTGTTAAAATATTATTAATTCTTGATGTTCTTTCATTTAATTCAATAAAAATATCGAAAGAATATGACAAAGTTAATAAATGATAATTAATATGTGGTGATACATCTCAGAAATTAATGTCACAAGAATACATTTCTCCTAATGAAAAACTCATTGTCAGTTTACAGAGTTAAATTTATAAGAATACGGCTACTCGTATCGAAGAAAAGATAATTAGGGTGGTATAAAAAAATGTATATGCTTTCAAAGACAATTTAATTTGAGGTGAAGTACATATTTTTTTTATAGAGAAGTAAATAATTAAAGGGTTCGTTTTTTCTGCAGTAAGCCCGATACGACGTCGTTTTGAGCGGAAATCGTAGTGTTTTGTAATTTTAATTTATTTCAGGGTTATAATAGTCTTTATATTTATAATTTTTTAAGATTTCAATACCAAAACAACGTCATTTTGAAAATAAATACAGATAATTTATTTGCATTAACTTGAAAAATATTTTTTCCAAAATTAAATTACTAACATTTACTCTTATTATAAGAGTTAGGATGGTTTTTAACTATATAATGATAAAAAAAAAACTAATTTTATTAATAAATGAAATTTCGAAGCACCTATTAAAATTAAAACAGCTACATTCTCCGTGGGATGGACGATATCCTTCTCTATTTTTAAGAGAAAATCTAGATTTAGATGTAGCAAAAAAGACACTTCAACGTTAACCAATACCCACTTTCAATATCTGGGAAAAATAGTCAAATCAGAGAAAGAGAGAGGGGGTTGGTATGCGGTGAAAATCTGGACAGCGACAGGAAGGATTAGATCCCTGTTAAGACTGGTAGGAACGACATGAAGGTTAGCTCAGTTCTGACTTAGAGCAGTAACCACAAATAAATATATATATATAATACCACCACCTTTCAGTTTTTATTTTATTTTATTTTTCTTGAAACCAACAAATGCAATAAAAGGAAGGACACAAAAAGCAGAAGAGAATGAAGAGAGGATAGGCTGCAATATATCCTCTCGAAGATTCAGGAGGCATTTTTGATTTGTTTGGAAGGAAAGATGACGATGGTGGGGTTGATGAATGCTGGAATGATAGAAGATGCAGCAATAATTGGAGGGTTGATAGCGGTGCAACTTGTTTACGCGGGGAATGCTGTGTTGTTGAGTTATCTTATGTCTTTAGGCATCAACTCTCTTTCCATTGTTATTTTCACTTCATTTGCTACATTCCTTATTCTCATCCCCTTTGCCCTTTATTATGAAAGGTCTTTTCTCTATCTCTATTTCTCTCAGTTTCTTATATATATTTTTTTCTTTTACTTTCTTTGTCCTGTTTTTTATGGGACCATGGGAATTGTTTGAAGATAAATTTCATGGTGGTATGTATCTTTTGCAGGAGTAGATGGCCCAGGAAATTCAGTTTCAAGTTGCTTATACAGATTCTCTTGCTTTCATTTGGAGGGTAAGGATATGTTCTTAATTTTCTTTACCATTAAATTCTCTTCTTCTCTTTTTAACATTTTTTCATTAAGTGTTCTGAAAAAAATATGAACGATAAATCGTGGAATTAGATTAATTGAATTCCTGTTTTCAATTCCCTTATTTTTGTTTAATGCTTTCAAGTTTTAAGTATCAAGTTTGATTCTTTTTAATTAATTACAATTTTTTCAAAAAAAAACAAAAAAAAATGGGGCATGGAAATAGTTTTTGAATTTGTGGATTCTTGAGTTCATCCCAGGACACCATGCAATCACTTTTTGGTAATCTACCAAATAAGTTTCATAGAGATGTGGGTTTTTGAATTCCATTAATGGGAAGAAATTAAGAGCACTACAAATTTTGGAGGCAGATAAGAAACTAATTTTAGAGAATTGTTAAAGGCGGATACGTTGTCATAGATTTTAAGGAATATCTGATCCCTAGGATCTCTCTGAAGACAATCTTGCTTGGGTCAAGCACCAAATTATCCTTAATTCCTTATTCCCAACTATTAAAAGTGAAAACACCCGTAATTCGTGTTAATCCCCCTATTTAGGTGTCAGGCTTATCTTAACCCTTTATAATAAGGTGGGTAATATTTTAAGGAATTTGAGTAAAAGACACATTATTTTTGTGTAGAAGTAGTGGATCATGGATCCATTAATTTTCTCGACAACGAAAAAAAGAAAAAAATATCTAATATTATTTTAGAAAATTTTATCTAATGTTCATCGAAACGATGTAATTTTTGGTTAAAAAGTTGAGAAGTTAAAATGATTTGAAATAAATTAAAATTACAAATATACCATTATTTTCACTCAAAACGATGTCGTTTTAATGAACATTAGACAAAATATAGTCTAAAATAACTTTATAAAAGAATGAATAAATAAAAGTTACAGAATCCAAATCCAATAAGTATAACTCCTTACAAGCAGGGGTGAAACTAGGTCGGGCCGGCCTACAGGGGCCTACGGCTCGGCCTACGTCAGACCAGACCCGACCTAGTATATTTCGTAAAATAGGTCGGGCTTGGGCTTGAAAAAACTTGTTTAATAAAAAGGTCGTAGGCCAATTTTCACAAGGTCTGGCCTATAAACCTACAGGCCGACATATATTGTACTATTTATTTTAAATAAAATAAAATAGAATAAAGTATGTCTTGAAGAAAAAACAAAAGATATAAATTTAATCAATTGCAATTATTTATAATTTAATTATATTCTATTATATTTTAATAGAAATATGACTTTATTTCTTATGTGAGAGAAATCAACATCTCAGCATGTTAGATTGTGTATATGAATATATTAAAAAGTTTTTGGAAAAGGTTATACTTACTACAAGTATCATGATGTGTTTATTGGATTTATGTAGTTATTTTAATTTACATAGTATGAATTTGTTTGTTGGATCTAATGAGATATGTTATTTAGTTTGAACATTTTGCTTTTGAAAGTGACTTAAATGCAGATTGTATGAGTTTTGTTGTGAATTCTGTTTGGACGTTGAAATTATGATTTTTGATTTAGCAACAGAATTTGAGTATTTTGTAAAGTTGATTTATGGTTCTGCTTGGAAGTTAAAAATTAATAGGCTAATAGGCTAAGCCAGACTATTTGTTTTTTTATATACGGATCAAGTCAGGCTAACAATTAGACTCGTACTAGGCTTGGGCCAGGCTAAATTAAAATTTTTTGACGTAGACTTGAACTTTTCGAGGCAAAGCTTGGCCCAGCCCAATCCACTTTCACCCCTACTTACAAAGAACCGGAAAGAAATAGAGAAAAGTTAAAGAAAAAAAAGGATGTATTTTGATTTTTGAGGGAAATAATAATTACCTGAACTTCATCCAAGTGGGCTATAATGTTTTTTATTCTCTGCTTTTCCTTTCTATAGCTTAATTGGCTTAATTGCAGGTTATGCTCTCATCCAAATGAAATCGTCTAGTTGTCAACTCCTTATTTGCAAAGAAGAAATAAAACTAGTAAAATCACACAACAATCCATAATTTTAGTTGTCAACTCCAATTTATAACATAAATTGATTCAAGTGATAAAGAGTTTGTTCCTCCATGTTATAAATCCACAACACTAGTTTACTGTCTTGTATGAAAAATAAATACTATTGTTGGATACCCAGATATTATATTAGTTTCTATCTTTTGAAGGGGATACTCTTTAGGTTTACCGTTCTCTTTATCTTGATTCTTGGTATCATGGTATGCAGGGTAACTTTATTCCAGTCTTTATTCCTTAAAGGAATCAATCTAACCTCGCCAGCAATGGGAACTGCCATGCCAAACCTTGCCCCAGGTCTTATCTTCGTCATCGCGTGGGCTTTTCGGTAATATAATCTATTTTTACATGGGTTGATAGTTTCAATATTTCTCTAATCATCCCCTAAGGGTGAATATGGTAACACCAGGGGATAAAGGATTTATTTAATTGCAGAGGATGATGCACTTATTATGTACCCCAAAAATTCACACAATTTAAAGGAAGGAGGGGAAAAAGGCACTAGGACATATTAAGAATCATTAAGCGATAACACAACACATAAATTTAGGATGTGATGTTTTTCATGTTTTAGGAGATACAAATTTTTATCTCCTACGTACATAAAATATATGAGATTTATGTGAGGTCACGTAAAAAGAAGAAAGAAAAAAGAAAAAACATGGGTTCTATACACTTTTGTATGTATGCAGGAGATAATTTTAAAATTATCTCTTACAACATGAGAGATATTAAACACCTAAATTTAATGGTATAAAAGTAGGTATAAGACTTCTGTATGTATTATTTATAGTATTTCCATGCTGATGAAAGCTTTTATGCTAGGCAGGTTAGAAAAAGTCAACTTAAGCTGCACATATAGTAGAGTAAAAATCATTGGCACATTGCTTTGCGTCTTAGGGGCACTCACAATGAGCATAATGCAAAGCATCTCTACTCCTGCACCCACTGAAGAGGGATCAGTTCAATTATCTTCTCCACCACCAAATGTAATGTTTGACAGACAAAAGATAATGGGTTGCCTCTATCTCTTGGCCGCAATCCTCATATTGTCAAGCAACATTGTCCTGCAGGTAACTTTTAAATTTTGATCAAATAGGAAAAGGAGACACAAAACAAATTACATTAAATTTCATCACTCAACAAAAATTGTTGTTCTTGCAGGCTTTTACTCTAGGAGCTTTTCCTGCACCGATATCATTGTGTGCAATATCATCCCTTTTCGGAGCGTTCATGACTACAACAGCTCAATTACTTGAAGATCACGAATTCAATACTAGTTGGCCACTTGTGAGCGTTCAAGATATGATTGGCTATTCTCTTCTGGTAATTTCAACTAGTCTGTCTCCTTGTCCTATTGATTATATGTTTGTTTGTTTTAACTGTCATAAAAAAAAGGACAATTTGACACTTGGTTCAGCATGTGATTTGTATAATGTAGTTTTTTAAGAGCCTTCAATTTGAATTTAAACCCTTAAGTATGCAATTGTTTTTATATTCTCTTTGACATGATTAATTGGGTATTGAAGGCAAAAATTGTAATAAAATGCACAGGCAGGTGCAGTGAATGGAATATGCCTAAGCTTCAATGGTTGGGCACTTGAGAAGAGAGGGCCAGTCTTGGTTTCCATGTTCAGCCCCGTTGGCACAGTCTGCTCTGTCATTTTCTCGGTTGTTACTCTACGAGACACCATTAATATTGGAAGGTACCTTGATAATATTCCTAGCTATTGATTTTTCAAATCATATTTCCAACTATAGTATCTTATTCGTCTGTATAATACTTCATGGCAGCTTTGCGGGTATGTTCCTCATGTTCACTGGGCTCTACTTTGTACTTTGGGCCAAAGGGAAAGAAGGCTTCGCACATGGAGGTGGCTTAGAGAGTGAGTTTGATGCAGAGAAGCCTCTATTAAGTTGATGTATTTTCATATGTCAGAACAAGTAGTATGTACATATTTCATAGCTAGAAATAGAGCAAATAAAATAGGAGAAGTTTAATTAAGTAGGTTTTGGTATAAGTGACTGTGTTATATATGGTCAATCAGCTTAATGGCAATTGGTATTTGCAACCAGCATTTAAATATTGAAACAACATGATGGCAAAGCAAGCTCTAGATGTGGCCAAAAATGTGTTTTAGAATGTAATGGAGGGGTGCAAAAGGACCTACAATTTAACTTTTTGGGTTAGAGGAATGGATCATGCATCTTTAGTACATCCGTCACATGCAGCTTAGTTCGATTTTTTAATTTTACATTATGTATTATCGGTTGTACATAGTCTGAAGTAAAAAAATCATTTTTCCTTTTCTCTCTTCTGTACACTAGCATATGAGGTGACACACTTTTATTGATCTATTCTATTGTACATACATCCGTAGTATATTAGATTTTTCTACAATATAAATTTTTCTCCTCTATAGAAAACTATTCGGCTAGTTAAATATGACATTTTAAGATGCAACTGAAGCAAAATCGTCAGCTAAGTCCTAAGAGATATCCCTGCATGACAAGAACACCTTTGTGTTTGTTGATCTTGTTTAGGCGACTTTTGATTAGAAACCATGAGGAATATTAAATTTTGTTGGGACGAGCGTACGAGGAGTGCCAACTTTTAGGTGTATTAACACTATACCAGAGGGACTAGTACAGATTGCTAAAATTTTCAGTATCGTTAGAAACAATTTTGCATCATAGAAAAGAGTAATGATATTTACACATAGATATATGCTCCTTATGTACCAAATTATTACACTTTGGATTTTATTTTGACAGGTTTAAATTGTCTATATATTTTATTTTAAGTGTAATTATAATTTTATTAAAAAAATAGTTGTCCATTATTTAATAAAAAAACAGATACAAAATCCAGTAAATGTGGGTTGTGTCCAAATTTTAAAAGGAGGTAAACTTTCCAATGGATATTCATGACATTTTTTTAAAAGATAATTTTGTAGTTAAGAAATAAGAGAAATAAGACATATTTTTTAATATATATATATATATACACGGGGCTTTTTTCTCTTTTTCGATTTCTGTCCATTCATATGTATTTTAGGAGGCAAGTCTTCATATTAGGTAGCCCGTTGTAATCAAGCTTTAAGATAGATGGGCTTCTTTTCTGTTGTTTGCATTCGTTGGGCTTCCCAAGTTTCATGACAAGTCATAAAAGTTAGGCTACTTAAAAATCCATTTTCAGTCTTCGAGTCGGACCCTACATGTGCAGTTAGGCACCACATTAATTCATTTTCGTTCCTTTTCAGAATGCTACAACCACCTATGCAAGAATTTTCTCTCCTTTCTTTTAAAGCAACTTTTATCTTAAATATAGTTCAGGGCCAATTTACTGTTTGAAAATGTTCTCATTATATTGAGTACAACTTTTATTTTCTAAGGTCATATATTTTGTACCACCAAATTTTTACTATTGCAATCTACGGGGTCTCTCTTAGAGCTAACAAATACTATTCTCTTTTAAGTCCTAATACATTTTACATTGTAACTTTTCAAAGGAGTGTGTGAGAATGAATCAGTTAAGTATGTTTGAGTCAAAAGTTTTTTCAAAGCCTAAAATCTCAATTCTCAAGTGGATGAAATGTCAATGCTGCTTACCCTAACTGGAAAGTTTCAAATTGACTTATAACCCCCCTCCCCACAAAAAAAAAAAAAACGCAAATTAAGATGGCAACCATATTCGTTTTAGAATAGTGGTGTTAATTAATTGTAGAACTTCAGCCACGCCCGAATGGGCTTGTGAGTGCTGACTAACTTTCTAACGTTACCTCCGTGTCATTGACAAACTAGCCATTTACCAACAATTCGTTTACCAGTATTTGAAAAAAACCAAGAATTTTGGTAGAAGTTGCATTTTCTCTGCTGTGCTTAATGCAATTGAACCAACCTCAGCTTCTTTTGTTATTTCTTTTCTTCACCAGAGAAATCTGCAATTTATTTATTTATTGCATTTGCCGGCACTGATCAAGCAGTTACTGCGATTTGGTAACACGAATATATAAGCTTTCCATGAACATCAATTTCTAATTGACCCACCAACTTTTCATCGTTTTATATTTGTTTATATAATAACTAGATATTCTTATCTCAGCACGATCTGTTTAGACAAATGAAAATGTGGAACGCTAAAATGTCAGAAGAAATAATATTAAAATAAATTCTGCATTTTAGTGTAAATGGTATATATATATATATATATATATAAAAGACCACTCATAATTACCTAATTGTTATGAGTCTAGTTGAACCATTTGTATAATGAAAATGAGAGTATCAAAGGGATTGGTTCAAGTGGTTATGTTTGATTCTATTTAAGGTTTTGAATTCAAGTTCTTAAAAATGTAAAAAAAATTCTTTGAGAGTACTAGCTCTACCGTGACGTGGTGAATGTTTCACAGAGACGTGAAACAAGTATGCTTACCTTGTGCATATATATGAGAAGTGATATTCAGTGTTAACGAGATAATATTTGTCTCACTTTAGGAGTGATTTTTATATAACTTAAGCGTGACAGGTCGAGAATATTAATAATTTATTTTTCAAAGGATTTTGTTGTTGTTTTATTACTATTTTTGGTTTTATGTTTTCTAGCTAATATAGTTTGATTGCAGTTCCAGAAGACAAGGGGAACAAAAGGGAACGACCCGACCCGTCTTGTATTGTAGGCCATTCTATAATCTTGACACACATGTCTCTAAAGTTTGGTCGATTGCACCAAAGGGGTGGTCCCTCGTGATTCATCTCTCCTTCGGATGCAAAAGCAATGCCTCTAGTTGTCATCATGCCTGTCATAATATACTTGACTTGAAAGCCAAAAACAAGCATCTAATTGATAAGATTTAAGGGTAGTTTAGGCCTTTTTATGGAGCAAACAAAGTCTCTCTGAGTAGCAGATTTTTTTCATTTCTCCAAGCATGTTTTACCCTTGATCTGACCTGACTTCATAGATAAAATACATTGCATTCATTTCGTCCCTCAAGTGAAGTCAAAGTCCTCAAGGATGTGGAGAAGGAAGAGCTGAAGTGCAAGAAAAGGGTAGTGTCTGTCTCATTTTGTCACTACTTTGCGCTCAGTAGTCAGTAGTAGCACTCTGCTTGCCAAAAGCAAAATCAACAAAAGATAAAAAGAAAAAAGTTTTACTACTTTATGTTTGTTGTTGGGACAGCATTTACTATTTGTTATTCCCTTTGGTTGCTGGAGCAATTAATCTAATTATTTATTTTCTGTCACAAGGCGTGAATGATTTAAAGTACCAATTTGGAATTTGAACCCCTGGTTGTTAATGAATATGGTAAAATAAGGCTCATATTTATCACTCTCACAGAATAGATACTGCTGAAAACCAACCATGCAGGGATGCTGGTAGACTTTGATGTTATGCCTTACCTATTTTTTTGTTTGTTTGAGTAATTCTATGCAAAGTATTCATTATCTTGCACTCCAACATAACCCAAGTTCAACTACTATGCAATATGTGAGACCAATAAACTTAAAGGATTATTTTTGCCTGAAAAAATTTACAAATGATTTTACATTCATCACTTAGTCTGTCCATTAAAATAAACATTTCTTGAAAAAATTTAACATCAGTATGTTAGGTTGTCATCTTTTATAAGAATAATGTGTTCTTTTCTTTCCTAATTGTTAGGAATTTGGAGTGTTCGTACTTTATCAGCTTGAAATGGTGATGTATTCGGTTTCTACTATGATTTTTCGTCCTTCATATTGCTGGCTCTTTGAAAAATATATTTATATTTAATTTTACTCAACCATAAGCATATTTGAGTTTTTAGTATGGGCACAGTGACCTTCTGTCCTTCTTGTTTGCATCTTTGCTTGAGCAGTAAGCATGATGTGTAGAATAAAGTTAAAGACTTTTACTTTGATGATTAATTTTTTTAAAAATGCTAGCTTTTAGCTTAACAATTATATAAATCTTAAGTCTTTATGTGAAAATTAGCTTTTGTTAGTTAGAACTTTGAAGGACAAGCAAGTACATCATATTGGGAGCAAATTCTCAATCCAAGTTACATTGTGATACAAATTTAAAGGGGTAACTTTGAGTTTGATTCAAGGGCTCGATTTTTAGAATTGAAAGTATATATTAAGGGTTTGTTTTTTGTGATGTTACTTTAGATAACTTTATTTAATGTTCATCAAAATGACGTCGTTTTGGGATAGAAATTATGGTATTTTTGTAATTTTAATTTATTTCAGGGTTATAATAGTCTTATATCACTCTAATTTTTTAATTTTTCAACCCCAAAATGACGTCGTTTCGATGAACATTAGATAAAGTTATCTAAATTAACATCGAAAACTTTTTTTCCATATATTAATTGTGGGAAATGATGAATGATACGAGGCTTCTTTCGGAAAATGATTACGAATCCTTGAAATTTGAAAATGGATTTTTTTTTTGGTAAAAATTTGAAAATGGATTTTTTTCTTTTTCAATTAATTTTTTATTGACTTAAAAAAATTAATAAAAGTTTCTATAATTGTACGCAACCTGATATTCATGGGACATTTCAAAAAGTTCTTTTCTGATATATAGTCTGATAAATTTGGTTTTGAAAATATTTTAAAGATATTAATTTGATTCTAGAAAAATTAAAACATTGAATTGTTTCTCAAATGACGATTTTTATATCAATTTGTTCTAAAGAAAAAGTAATTTTTGAACTATTTTGATGATGGAAAAAAAATACCATTCCAAGCAATTATTGCGATAATTTCTTAAGACCAATTGATATTATGAAAATATTTCACGCATCTAAACGAGAGTTTGTAATATTTTATATTTGATTAAAATTATAACTTTTTTTTATAAGACAGAGTGAAACAGGACACGATTTTTAGAGCCTTAGAAATGCATTGTGATTGGACCAAACTTTTGTTGTACTTGGGTTTAGGTCTTTACGATTTAGAACAAGTTTATCAATCAAGGATTATAAATATTCTTTTTTCTGTTTCCAAATATATATATATATATATATATATATATATATATATATATATATATATATTCTTTTTCTTTTGTTTTTCAATGTTGAAACTTACATGATGTTCTACGGTATCTCAACTTTTGAAGTTTCACAAATCCATATTTTAAAACCGGAATCGGACCGACCGGATTAATTCAGATTTCGTTGACTCAATGCTCTCATCGGTTCATATTAGTTATTATTGATCAAAATGCATCTTATAATATATTTATTATATAATTTAATATAAATTTAATTAAAATAGTTGAATTAATAACTCACCAATTAAACCAATAATCCAATACTCATTAGCGCCAAATTTTAT